TTTGTGTTACCCCAAAGGCTTCGGGGGGCTGCCCCGGGGGTGGCGATTCTGGGGGAGCCTGGGGCGGATGGGGGTGACTCACGCCGGTGGCTTTGCTCCGGTGCAGACATGCCTTCAAGTCAACCCATCGATATCCCCGACGCCAAGAAAAGGAACAAGAAGAAGAAGCGCTGCAGAGCCACCGACAGCTTCTCCGGCAGGTTCGAAGGTGAGCGGGGCTGCCCAGGACCCCAGGGTCCCCCCCCGGCCTGGGGCAGGGCTGGGGCCCTCCTGGCATCCCCAGGCTTGGGGACAGCCCGGGGAGAAGGGACAGCCGTGGTGTCCCATGCTGCGGCGGGGCCGGTGGCTCAGGCGACCTCTCCCCTGCCAGATGTTTACCAGCTGCAGGAGGAGGTGCTGGGAGAAGGAGCCCACGCCAGAGTCCAGTCCTGCGTTAACCTCATCACCAACAAGGAGTACGCAGTGAAGGTAAAGCTCTGCCGCTCGGGGCTGCAGACCTGGTGCCCTCCCACCCCCCTGCCTCAGTTTCCCTCTCCACCCTCCACACCTTGGGCTCTCCTGGCTCCCATGCCCAGCCAGTGCTGGCACAGGGTGACGGTTTCGTGGCCTGGAGGGGAAGGAGAGGGGCAGGAGCGTGGCGGGGCCGGGCCACGCAGGTGGCACACTGTCCTCTGCCACCGCCCAGCTCGGGGACCTTGGTCAACCCCCTTAGCCCCGCTTCTCTCCCTGTCAATTAGGGCAGGCAGGAGATTAAATTAATGCTTGCAACGCGTCTGGGGACCCGGGGCAAGCAGGGGTGTGTGGTGCTGGCAGGGTGGCCAGCTCCCACTCGCCCCGAGGGCGTCTCTGTGCCCCTGCGAGCACGTGGGTGCTGGAGAGGGCTGGGATGAGCTGGCCGCTTTTGGGGTTGGGGGTCCTGTGGCTCTGCACTCTGTGGGCTCCCAGCCACGGTGTGAGGGGGCTGGGATGGGCCCCATGTCAAAATGCAGCCAGATGCAAGGGGAACTTGGCTTCCCCTATTGCCCTGGGGGGGCCTTTGGGTGCCCCAGTGGGGAAACTGAGGCAGCGGGGAGGTCTGCATGGTGGTAGGGTGCTCTGTGTGCCCCAAAGGGCTGGTTGGAGCACCCTGCTCTTCCCCCCATGGGGCCGTGGGTCGGGACCGCCTGGCATGTCCGTCAGGCACCCGCCGTGCCAGCGCCTGTCGGGGCGAAGAGCCCTTCTCTGCCGCTGGGGCTCGGCGGTATCACATGGACCTCGCCTTGGCCGGGGCCCCGGGAGGGAGCGGCTTGGCATCGCTGCCGGGAACAGCCTGTTCTGCTGCCTTAACCCCTTCGGACACCCCCAGCTTGCCTCCGCCCGGCCCCAGGGGTCCCCAGTGCCGGCTGGGTGGGGGTGCAGCAGCCGCCAGCCCCCCAACCCCGACGGCGGTGCCTCTCCCTGATTCTCCCCTCCTTTGCGTTTCAGATCATCGAGAAGCGCCTGGGACACATCCGCAGCAGGGTCTTCCGGGAGGTGGAAATGCTGTATCAGTGCCAGGGACACAGGTACCGCGGGGCAGGCAGCGTCCCCCCTCCACGGGCACGGGGAGTAGGCTGAGACCGGGCTGACTCTCGGGACACCCATGGGCTGCAGCCAGGCCGCCCTCCTGCACAGTGCTCCCTCCTCTTGGCCTTGCTGGGAGCATCTCGAGGCGACGTTAAGCAGTTTGCCATGACAACGGGGGCCACGGCAGCCAAGTTGGAGCGGTGCCGAGGGGCGAGCCGAGCTGCCGCGGCGGCGTTTGCCGTCCTGCCGTGGAAAGCTGCTGAGCAGGGCTGTTTCTGGAGAGGGGCGAGTGAGCCAGGAGGGTCTGCGAGCAATTAGGGAGCAGAGCTGGGCGCCGAAAGTCCCTCTCCCCCCTGGAATGCGGCCGGGGGGCCTGGCCGTGTGGTTTCAATCACTGGAAACCCAATTTGTCCCACATCCCCCCGCCCGGGACCTGTGGTGCCTGGGGGTGTGGGGGGCTGCAGGGAAGGGGACCCCGGGAGGTTTTTGGGGGGATGCTCCGCTGATGCTGCTGTCTCCGCAGGAACGTCCTGGAGCTGATTGAGTTCTTTGAGGAGGAGGAGAGGTTTTACCTGGTGTTCGAGAAGATGAGAGGAGGTGAGTGCAGTGCCGGGATGGGGGAAGCCGGGGCGGTGGGAGCCCCCACGAGCCCCTGCTCTGCTTTCGCCCGGCCGCAGGCTCCATCCTGACCCACATCCACCGGAGACGCCACTTCAACGAGCTGGAGGCCAGCGTGGTGGTGCGGGATATCGCCAGCGCCCTGCACTTTTTGCACAACAAAGGTGAGCCGGGACACCCCGGGGTGCCGCCGTGCCCTCCCCGGGGGGACGCTGCCTCCTGCCCGGGGGACAGCGCCGGCCCGGGCGCACAGGGTCAGGCCCAGCTGAATCACGAAGCTTTTCGTGGGGCAGAGCCTGTTCCTCCGGTTCAGCCAGGACTCGAGGCCAGCAGCAATTTTTGCCCTTCGCCATGACGCAGGCGGTGATTTGGGGCAGGGAGGGAGGGGTCCCTGTGCCACCCCCAGACCTGTCACCACAGAGGTTTTGTAGGGGGGGATTTTTGCCTTCATTGTCTCTTCCCCCCCAGGAATCGCACACAGGGATCTAAAACCAGAAAATATTCTGTGCGAGAGCCCCGACCAGGTGAGCAGCTGGGGTGGGCACAGGGGGGTGCTGCCGGGGGTCACGGGACCCCATGGGGGATGCTGGGGGGTCACTGGCTGCTCTTTCCAACCCCCCAGGTCTCCCCGGTGAAAATCTGCGACTTTGACCTGGGAAGCGGCATCAAACTCAATGGCGATTGCTCCCCCATTTCCACCCCGGAGCTGCTCACCCCGGTAAGCGTGCA